GGAGTTTAACAGCTCAAGCGAGTGGCAAAAGCCTTATTTTAGACTGGAGCTCTTTCCCAAATGATTTAAACACCGAGTACTTCATAGTTTTTCTGAATCAAACAGAAATTCACGAAAATAATGATCATCGTTATGACCATGAAAACTACAATCCTATACGCATGCTCAGGTTTTTTAACCTTTCGGAGACGGAGGTCAACGTATCAGATATTCCTGCAGCCACAGAGTTCCAAGCTGTTGTCTATCTCGTGGCCGTAAATAATGATATCTACAAAAGTCAAACACTCACCATTAAATCTGCTGAGGGCGGTAAGAAATTAAAGTTTTTTTTTTCTATACACCCTCGCAAGATATTCGAAGCCAAGCGGGTTGTCAGCAAATAGTTGTGGTTGCTGGAAATAAATGGAAATATCAAAATGTCCTTGCAGTTCGATTCATCAATTACGAAATTTCACGGTTTCGTTTCAGGGTCATTAAGTCATATAGTTTTTCAAAGGCCACACCGATATTTTTTAATCGCTGTAAAAATGATTTTATCCTTGTCTGATCGCTATACAATTTTCTCCAATGATTGACTATGGATTGAAATTTGTCAAAATGTAGGTTTTAGTAAAATCGATATTACTATGACAACAATAAACAAAAAAGTTTGAAATTGATAAACTCCTAATTTTGCGCGATCTAGACCAGCCACTGAAAATCCGACTATGGGAACTTAAAGTTTGGTGTGTAGCAAATAACCTCCGTAAGAAGTAAAAAATTCTGTATGCTTGAATTCGACTACAACGGAAATATAGTTCAAACCTTAAATTTTCAACAGCCGTGATAGATTATTTAAAAAAAAAAAAAACGTTATAAATGACTCAAATTATTCTTAAGTAACGTCAGAATGCTGCTTAATATGATATTTCCATGCTAAGAAATTTTGGCGTATTTTCGTTCTTGCGATCTTAAAGACTAACCCGTTTTTCACCACCTTTCCAAGGGTAAGTTCATCCAAAATTTGGACTTTTAGCGCTTTTTTGGAATATCTTTGAAACGACTCAAACGAATTTTTTTTAAAATCTCTTCACATAATCTTCATAATGTATATAATAATGTCTGAAACTTTCATCGAGATTGATTCACTGCAACACCTTGAAATTTCAAGACAAACCTATTCTACGAACAAGTCAAAAGTCCGCGCTACAACATTCACTGTTTTGACGTTATGCCAATTTTTCCAAATTAATGCGGACAACAGACATATCCATGACTAGAACATTTCAGTGTGAGTATTGTCAATGTTTTACATTCAAAAGATGCGATAAATTCAAACTAAAATGTTCTAGTCATGGAGGTATGTATAGTGCGCATTATTTTGGGAAAATTAGCATAACGTCAAAACAGTGAATGTTGTAACGCAGATAGGTTGACAGGTTCGTAAGATAGGTTTGTCTTGAAATTTTAAAATGTTGCAGTGAATCAATCTCAATGAAAGTTTCAGACCTTATTATATGAAAAAGCACTAAAAGTCCAAATTTTGAATGAAGTTGCGCTTAGACAGGTGGTGAGAAAACGGGTTAGTTTTTCAGATCGCAAGAACGAAAATACACAAAATTTCTTAGCATCGACATATGATATTAAGCAGCAATCTGACGCTACTTAAGAATAGTCTGATTCATTTATAGCGTTTTTATTAAATACTCTATCACGGCTTTGAAAATTTAAGGTTTGAACTATAGTTTCGTTTTAGTCGAATTCAACCATACTGAATTTTTTACTTCTCACGGAGATTGTCTTCTAAGCACCAAACTTTTAGTTCCTAGTGTTGGATTTTCAGTAGCTGGTCTAGATCACACAAAATTCGGCTTTTATCAGTTTCAAAGTATTTTGTTTATTGTTGTCAAGTAATATCGATTTTACTTCAAGCTACATTTTCACAAATGTCAATCCATAGTCAATTACTGATGAAAGTTTTATAGCGATCGGACCAGGAAAAAGACACTTTTAAGGCGATTGAAAAATATCGGTATGGCCTCTGAAAAACTGTATCGAAACACCTTAAACCCGATGCCACTGAATTGTAGAACATTCTAGGAGGCGCTTTTCACTATGTGAGCACAGTTACTAACAAGGGATAGGAAAACAAAGTAAATGCAATACACCAAAACGCTTAGGGTGTTAGGTACTGTTCATATTTTGGCCATCGTAAGATATGCCAATTGCTCACTGAGTCAGCAACTAATTGTTGTTGCTACGGCCTGAAATGTGTGCAATGCCATTATTGGTTTTGCTCAATTAAACACTACAATAGATTGTAGAAATTTTAGCACAAGCAGCCCGCAATTTGCGTGCATGCAATTAGTGACAGGCCGTATTGATTTCGATCGAAGAGGACAGACGGGAATTTGTTTTTGCTGGAAATATCTATGATAATATGCAATTCCAAGATAGTTTTGGATCCATGACATCTAATACCAACGGGAGAACATAAGGAGGAGGAGGAGTCACCTACCGGCAGTGTGAACAAAGTTTCTGACACGACATATGAGTTAGGAATACAACGTAAAAAAAGAAATAACTAAACAGGCGACAATTGGAGGTTCTGAAGAGCTACAAATCTAATGAACTAAACGCAAAGTTCAACTTAACATAAGTGTACCTGATAAAGTATGTTTGCACACTGCCTTAAGATTTTTCCTATAGTCTTAGTTTATTTGATCTTGCCAACTGTCGTAAGAGTACTTAACTGATAGATTGAAAGATATTAGAAAGAGTCTTTTGCACATCTTAAAGCTGCAGCAAAACTACCTTGATGAGTCTTTCCACTCTATTACCAGGATCGTGTTCTAGATCCGTAATTGCTATGACCAGCTCTGCATGATTTGGCATAAACAAGAACTATAGGGCACCTTTTGCTGGTGAAGCGGGAAAGAAAAGTAAAAGCTACGCAACTCACTGCTTGCCGTTACTTCAGGGGTTTCTTGTTATAGTATTTAGCTGTTTCATTACTTGTAACTCTTCCATATTTGTTTATTTTCTTATCAAGTACCCAGTGAAGCACCTTATATCCACGGCTGGAGACAAGACATTGATGCGCGCAGCATTTCATTCCGATTAGAATCCATTGAAGAGAGAAATCGTGGAGGAACACTACTGGGATATAAGATGAGATATCATCGATTTGGTAGAGCAGGCGATACAGTGTACCGGGACTTGGACGTGAATACTGAGCAAGTTACTTTGAATAATTTAATTCCCGGGAAGGTTTACGTTATTTCCATTTCAGGATACACAAGCGCCGGAGAGGGAAAAACCAGAACAGTCTCTGCTGCGTGTAAGTTTTGTAACCTCCTTCGCAAGGTCCTTTCCCTGTCGGTGTAGGGAGGCCGAGTGTTTGTAGTCTTATAAATAACTACGTAGGCAGCTGTCTCTCGTCTCTCGTTTTCCATGTTTACTTCGTAGAGTAGACAAGAGAAGGGAGGAGAAACAAAAAAAAATTAAAGCCCTGAGAAAGATGAAACACAAGAGGGTTTTGCTTGGCTCAATTGACAGCCACCGTTCGGGAAAAAGAGCCCGCACTAGTATCAAAGACCTGGCTCGGGAGAATGGCAGAAATCGAACCTAAGGTTTAACTTGCGTCATGAATGCTATATATACGTAGGTTCCTTATGTTACTGCTTGTGCTCATGTGTTTCTCTTATATATGCCTTACTTCGTCTTATGCATATCCTTGAAAAGTAACTTGAACCAATCCTTACGTTTTCTATAGCCACCATTATCCACCATGTAAAAATAACCTACATTGCATTATTTATGTTCACAACGTAAGCGCTGCTTCCAAAACATCCGTAACGTGTTTTCTTTACGGTTTAGGTCAAAATTAATATCAAGTTAATAATAATAATAATAATAATAATAATAATAATAATAATAATAAAGATAATAATAGTTGCGTTCGTAGAACGCCATCATAAATTTGTTAGCCAGAAAAAATCGAGAGTTTTGGCGACGGACTTCCAAATAACTTCGCCTCTTGAAAGAACGTAGCGTCGTCCTGGGTACGAACGATAGGATACAATACACATGACTTCTTTCGACCGATACTGGATGATTGTTGATCAACGTGACTGGATCGGTATAATATATATATATACAGGAAACTTTCAAAGTGTTTCTTGATCTGTTTTCCTTCTTATGCTCGATTCAAGGTTTTCCTGATGCTTGCGAAGTTGCGAAAATCAAGTTTTAACGAGAACATAGGTGAATTCTGCTCTATTATTATTATTGTTGCTTTTATTTTATGGCGCCTTAGATTACTTGGATAAAGTTCGAATTCAGGCATATGCGATAAAGTGCGTTAAGAGAGCAAATTTTGGTGTACACGGCGTACATACATACGTACTTTCGACTATCGTTTAGTTACTTTAATAAATTAAGGTTCATGAATTGGAGAGTGGATCTTTCAACCTTGAGTCACATCTTAAGCCCTTTCGATGATTTGAGTAGATAATAAAAACCGCATGCAGCGTTCAAGTTAAATAACTATTGCTCGAGCCTTTCCCGATAACACCGCACTTTATTTATTTAAGCAATAATTTAGAAAGTTATTAAAAGAACTCTACAATAGAAGCCTGTAAAAATATATGGTCTGCCCCTCAGGCAAGTTAAGGCATCGGTTGAAAGGCTAAAAAGACCCCCCCACAGCGACTGCAAGGATCATTTTTAATGACGTAGAAGGATCTAAGTAAAGGGTTCCACAAAGATATGATAAGACATATCTTACTAAAAAAGTTTTGGAAAATTCATCCCAAGCATCACGTGACATTCCTTGGACCATGACGTCACAAAACCTGTTTTTTTCAAACGGGGTAAGTTGTTAAAAAAATACTTGTCATCAAATTGTCAGCGAAACTGTCTAGATTGTCAATTAGCCTTGCAAGATGGATCGAGTTATTTAAGTCTTTTATAAGTCACGTGACATGTTTTTCATTATTTTGTAATCCTTGCTCCACCTATGCATACACGCAGGGCTATTTCTTAATATCCAGGCTATGGGAAAAAACACTGGTGCCTAAAAATATTTGCTGCTCTTTCATTTCCTTTCCCCCGTTTTAATTTGAACACTTTGAACGTTGACGATCATTTGCAGGTCACGTGACTAATATTTCAACAATGAATATGTCACACATTGTTAAGGCCACCGAGCTAAAACTATTTGCCAAGTTTCATGACCACTGATCAAAACAATCCGTCTCAAATGCCTCTTCGCCAAATTATGCAAATTGTGAGGTGACCCATGCCTTAACATGCCTGAGCCGGAAATAACTCGCTTGGCATATCGAACACACTCTTTAATCTATAATTACCCCTAGTTAATAGTATAAAAGGGGAAGAGATGGTACCCACTTACACGCCATTTTCCACAGGTAAGATATTTTTAGATTCGTTCCCAGACTGTAGACTCCAAGGGGATTAGACAACAGCTAAACAAATGGCACCAGTATTACGCGTTCACGACCTACGCTCATAGCTACGCTCCCCTTACGTTTTATCATGTATATTTACTTCCTTTTTTTCCTCAATTTGTTTTGTCTCTTCACCAAAAGAGACAAGAGAGATTGAGGATCAACCTAGATTAAATCGAAATTAACCTGGAATCAGATTTGGCTTTTAAAGTTTACACATAATCTGTCACGCACAAAAAAATAATTAGTTTTTCTACTTGTGTCTTAGTATGTGGTGGTGTAATAAATGCACAGATGGGAAATATTTCAAGTCCTGGCTATCCTAACACTCCATACAGGCCTGAAGACCAACATGACGACAATATCCGCTGTCACTGGAGACTTCGACCTCCGACCGGGTCGTATATGATGGTGACATTAAAGAACTTCTTTCTTGGCCACAGAGAATGGAATTATTGCAGGTCAGTGTTTATGTACATGTAAAGCCTTCTTCAATGTCCCTTGAAGAGAATGTACCGGAGTATAATACATGGTCAGCATATTAAGTAAGTTATTAAGAATAACTTTTATACGGCAACCCTTAAGACACGATTCAACAGTTTTGTAGGATTACCTTATTATTTTGTTGAAACTTGTTGTTCTATTTATTTATTTTTTAACCGATGGCTTAATACATGAATAAACAAATAATTTTACCGCCCTATTTTTCAGTGGGCAACTTAGAGTACACTTTCCTGATCGCGACTGGGACGAAAGCATGAGTATGGAATTTTGTGGAAAAGAAACGAATTACTCCATTCTCATAAAGAACCGGGATGTTGATATACAAGCCTGGGGATTCCATTACCATCGACATGACGACGAGTTTAGGAAAAATAATGGTACCAAGTTTCTAGTCGAATTTAAGGCTTTCTCTGAAGAAGACTTGACAGGTAACGTTTAATCTACATTTTTAACAGTTGTTTTTCAAAATTTGCGTTCATTCTATAAAAATGTTTTATTTCTATTCTTAATAACTGAGTTCTTGTATCAATTATACTAAATTTAGCATATTTTATCAAGTTTATTATAACTGTTATTAGTAGATACACACTAAGTGATCTTGGTGATTCAAGCAATCCGATTGGTTCGTTTTTTCGGACTATGACGTAACATTTACCACGCTAGACGAGGTGTTTTGCCAAAGTTTCAGAGTAAGGACTTGTTGAACATATAAGAAAATGCCGAGTGTAGTTGTGTTTCAAGGTAGGAAAAGACATTATGGTGTTTTTTTTCACTGTTTTGTGAACTCGGGATTTCCTCGAAAGACGAATTGAAATAGAAATCAATTTATGGGGAAAAAAAGGAAAGCAAAATTTTCGCAAATTTTATTGCCAGCAAGTTAACAAGGCAATGAACACCACAGATAAACAACCCTCACCTCGATCGTAGCCGCTGTTGACAGCATTTGCAAGAAGCAACCAAAAAGAAAAAAAACTTACTCACGGTGAGTTGAAAGAAGCATAAAGCTCCGCGTCTCTTCTAAGTACTAATTCAAACTTTGGATATTTTCTTTTAAACCACTGATGCAAAAGCTTACAAAAAGATTGACTATGATTTGCCGTGTTTGAAAATAATGTAAAGTTCTAACGTTTGCGCATGTACTGTTTACGGCTAAGTTAACGCGTGAATTAACTCGGTATTTCAACTTAAATCGCTTTTTCAGGTTTCCTTTCTAATTCTCTCGGGATCACTTCCTGTGTATATAGTAATTTAAAAACAATCATTTTTTTTTTCAATCTCGGCAAATAGCGCCCTTAGGAATATTTATCTCGATTTCAAAGGATAATTGTTAAATGTGTCCAGGTTTTTCAGTGACCAAAAATACGTGGATTTTTAAATAACGGGTTTTGTAGCTGAAAACGAACAAATTCAAAATGAAGAGATGGTGTATGGCTCCAATTTCAGTAATTAATATCGTAAATATCAATAATGTGTTAGCGGAACTATATTACCATTAAGGCGTCCTTCGCTTTATGGCTACTTTTCAGGAAAAAGAGATGAAATTTGGCTTCTGCGAATAAATTTAACAACATGACGCCACAATGACGTAGAGAGACCGGTCTTATTGCTGGTTTTCAGTGTCACGCCATTCAAAATCGATCGAAATCAAAATCAAAACCGTTCAATAGTTTCATGCCAGAATCTGGGAAATCAAAGGAGGTAAATATACAAAGACCCTCGCCAAGATTCGGGTCAGAGGAATATTTCTTATAGAGATATCCGAAGAAATGTTTTACTCAAATTTAAAGGAATTTGTAAGAAGACGCCATGCTGGTGCCCACCTGGATGGACACCAACATGGCGGACGGAAACCAACAGAAACATCTGTTACCTAGTTTTGCTACAAAAACGTGAATTTATCCCTCGAGGAACTCAGAAACATCAAAGTAATACTTTTTCTGATACATTAGCAGTTTAAATAGCAAAATTCCCGGAAATAAGTCACTTTTTTAAACCTACATTACAGCTCTCTCGGCCGTCATGTAAAAGCCGCGTCACGCAAAAGCTTAGAAATTTAAGCGTACTTTAACATAAAACAAGAACGCTTTTGAAGTGAAAATTTGTGTGAACGATAGTTTTCAGCTGCTCTAATACATGATAAAAGTAAAATCTCAGTAGGATCGATAGTTTTGTAGTTTGAATTTTAGTGACGTCATGTGACAACCAACAATATGAAACACGTGCTAAATGAATTCAACAACTCGATTATTCTATTCTCCTCTTCCCATCAGGGTCAGTGTTAGGAGACTGGGAAGTAACAATAACAAATGTTACCAATTCGTCAGCACTCGTGTCGTGGCCCCCGCCCCCGAGTAGCTTTGCGGGTGGAGCCACTGTTGAGGGGTACCTTGTAATTGGCGATCAAGCTTCAAGGGAAATATACCATCCAACTTGGTTATCGGCATCTCAAAGTGCTCACCTCGTTGAAAACCTGCTTGCACGAACGAACTATACTGGTAAAATCGTGGTCATTCTAAGTAATGGAACGCGTGGCAGCACAGACTGGAAAAGTTTTCAAACTAAAGAAGGAAGTGAGTGGTTAATTTTACATTAAGAGTTTATTAAATTTTATGCAATTCAATTCACTTCGGTGATTCTTAACCAATGAACATTATTGAGAGGCTAAACAGTCAAGAGCAAAACCTAAACAGCTGTTAAAGAAGTGATGAAGTGAAAAACCATCGTTACTTAGTCCTGCACATGCTACGTGAGAACTTTAAGGCTCAACTATATATACTTTGTCATAATAGAGTGAAACGTAAACATCTGTTAAAGAATTGAGGTGAAATAATATCTTTTTTCGGTCCTGCTTAGGTTGAAATTTTACTTCAAGAATTTTAAAAGAAGGCTCAGTGTTAGGTTGCTTAGGTTGAAATTTTACTTCAAGAATTTTAAAAGAAGGCATATACTACTTCGTTATAAAAGAGTAAAATGCTCGCATTTGACTATTGGTACATCTAAGTGATGGGTATTTAAGAACGATGGAATGCAGTTTGAAGAAAAAAAATTAAAAGCTCTTTTATCCCAGGTCACTTTGTTTCAATATGGTGATTACCTATGAGGTCTCCGTTTATGACTTGCATTGTCAAACTTGGCGCCACTGTTTTCGGGGAGCCTCTGATTTTGGAATATTTAAAGTATGATTTATCTTCTTGTTCCCAGTTCCATCTAGGAACCCTCGCATTTACGAGCGCAAAGCCACCGACTTCAGCACTCTTTGGATCAGGTGGGAAAAGTTGGAGGAAAGTGCAAGAGGAGGAACTCTTTTAGGATATCGAGTCCACGTGGAAGAAAACTACCATGGTGGTTATAGACCCATAAACTTGTTTTTCAAAGTTAAAACTGTGGGCCCTGATGAGTTTGAGTATAACATAACAGGACTCCCACAGTGGACTGAGTTCCAGGTGTGGGTTACAGCCTACACAGCAGCTGGAGAAGGAATCCAGCAGAACAAAGAATGGATAAGAACAAGTAAGTCATTATTTTCGACTTGAATGCTTCAAAAACAAAAACAAATCAAATTGATAAAGAACTCTAAAATATTTTGTCAGGTTATTTTTTATATTGTCCTCGATAGCGATTCTGGTTGTTCCTGGCGATTTATGGTTCCGACGCGCTGCGCTCTTGGGCATACAACGCTGTAAAAACACTTTTTGTAATATCATTGTTTACAGTGGGAACCTCAAATGTTGCTTATAATTTGGATAATGTATTACGAAAAGCACAAAAGTGATTTATAATTAACTACTTTGATATGGACATCATTATGTTGCTCCAAAAGACTGATTGGTCAGTCAATTTACCAGGTAAATGGATTTATTTATGGTTGTTGATAGGGGAAAGGTCACTGGGGAAAACTTCAGAATTTATTAGTCCCTTTGAAATTTGTTCACCCACCTGATAAACTCGTGAAAAACAACAACAACAAACAAAGAGAAACAAAAAATACATTCATTCTCAATTTGCTTTTTGTAATGGTAAAAACGGGAGCCGCAATGTTTTATCATGGTTACAAATTTGAGCGCCCACAAAGCGCAAAATTTTAGATTTTTTTAAGCCTGGTAGGCAATTTTTTCTTTTCGCTGTAAATATTATATGTTGATTCTTGTTTGACACTGTTTTAAAAAAAACACACACACAAAAAAAAATGTTTGTAGAAAATATTATATTCGCTCTTGATACCTTTTGTTATATTACAGAACTAGTTAGTAGACCATTTTGATGGTTTCTTTACTTTTCATCTTAGAATGCGGTTGGTGGCTGAATAGCACTACCGATTTCATTCGAAGTCCCGGGTATCCTAACGAAATGACCTATTCTGAGTGCGTCTGGTACATCCAGTCAAGAAACAAAAGTGTCCTGTTGTGGTTTGTTCATGCTGATATTGAGCACGATTGCGAGTAAGTTATTTTAAGACGGAATCCACCAGGAAATTGAGTAATTTTAATTTTCAGTGGACAAAAATCGTGTACCCGAATAATTTAAAGAATATTACATTCTCTTTTACATTTTTCAAGGTCTAAAGATGTAATAAATCATCTGTAGTAACACCAAAGAAAATTTCTAATGGAAGTCCGAGAAAATAAATGTCAAATTTCACAAGAATTGTGATTATGCCAGGTAAAAGTCTAAAAATTTCATGTGTAAGAAGCAATTTAGTGAAATTTGACATTCATTTTCTAGGGCTTCCATAAGAATCTTTTTTCGGGTGTTACTACAGATGATTTATTACATCTTTAGCCCTTAAAAAAATGTAGAAAGGATGCAATATGCTTTAAATTATTCTGGTACAAGATTTTTGTCCACCGAAAATCAAAATTATTCAATGTCCTGGTGGATTCTGTCTCAATAATGAAGACAAATGTGTGAGGTTCAGATTAATTACACCGATTTACATTTTATTCATTTAAGTGCGTTTTATGCATGTCGCTATCCACCCTGCCAACAGAGCCTTTCTTTGGCTTGCTAAATTTTGGCGTCCATGAGCGAGTAAGATCTTTGTTGAGCATGCGCAGCATGTTGTTATGATATGGTTTCGAATCCAGGTCTAATAGCCGTGCGCTTGCTACAGTGGGCTCGGTTATGACCATAGGTAGTTATTAATAATAAGATGCTTGGAAGAAAACTAAAACAACATAAATGAAAAAAAGAAAGAGAGAAAGAAAACGAGATTGATTAGTCTAGAAGTTTGGGCCTCGGCGACCTCAAAGGTTGGACATTATTCAAGCAGAGCTGCCTTTTCTCCTCCCTACTGAACAAGAAAAAAGAGGCTTTGCTCGTAGGATGGTCGTTATGGAGTCGATTCAGGTATTACATAATTTTTCATAATTTATGCGTCGAATTAATCAAATGGGTAGTTTGCAGGCTTCCAGGATGTAAATAGGATTACAACCGATATAAATAATGCTAGGTCACATTACATGCATGTGTCTGGGATTATCAATTATGGTGTCACTGGCTTCAGCGTTTAAAGAAATAAATCATAAAAAGTAATTCAACGAATCCGACAAAAGCAGCCACTCCTCCTCGCCTCTCGCCAATGGAGACGTTTCGCGAGGAGAAAGGAGCGGCTCAGTTCTTTCGCTGGCTAAATTCAAAGAGTCTTGGTTTTTAATCCACAGGCGCCATTTTGTGGCTGTTGGAGATGATAGTGGTGTTGAACCAAAAAGATGGTGCGGCGTCACCTTTGAACATAAACCTGTCCTCGTGCAAGCGCACAGGGTGCCTTTACTCTATGAGAGTCACAATCATATCAGCGATCAGAAAAAAGGATTTGAATTGGTTTATATAGTGTTAAATGAATCTACATGGGAAGGTAGGTATATGCGTAACCTTTATTTACTAGATATCTTAGGGTGCAACTCCATGAAAATTGAAACGTGTATGGGGGAATAAAAGGACGGGAAGACAGGTTATCACTTCCAAAATGAGAGTTGTCTCCCCTTCAAAATACTTTTTGCAATATTTTCTATACCTGTCCAACATCTAAAAGGTAATCACATGACTTTCCAACGATGAAAAGAGCAAGAAAATGAATAGGAGAGTTATAAAGAATCTAATTCGAAATGTCCTGTTTACGATATGCCCAGAATACATTCAAGAAAATTGACGTTTAAAAAAGAGTTCTCATAGCCGAGGATATTCCCTACCAAATCGTGATAACGATTTCACACTGGTATTCCATAAAATACCCCTTGCAAAGGAACGCTTATCATTAGATGAAAAATGCTTTGCGTTTTTTAGTAACACAAATAATCAGAAATGATATAATCACACGATCTGTATAGTTAATGGTTATTTATATATATATTTTTAGCTACCCTTGTGCCAAACTGGATCATATTTAACATCACGAAGATAGATCTTGACAAGGTAGAAGTTGAGTGGCATCATCATCCACCAGTGACGTATCCGCTCGAATTATTTGCATATGCGGTGGTTTGTACACCTACCGATGGAAAGCTAGGTCCAACCCTCACAACTGTTCGTGGGAATATAAACAGAACGGAAGTACATCGTCTGAGACCCGGAACTAATTTTTCCGTGGAAATTGTTGCCTTAATTTATAACAATCAAACGGAGGAGATCACTTTAGAAAGAAGTCAGAGCAAAGACTTGGAGACTGACGAAGGAGGTAAAACGATCTTAGTTCTTAGCGTACAGTGTACTTGCATAGGTAGAGTCACCCTAGCCTCCTAGTCGGGGCAAATTTTCCGTTTCTCTATGTAAACACTTCAGTTGCCGAGCCTAAATAATATATTTTATAAGAATATCAAGGCTTGAATTTGTAATATCTTAAGAATATGATAAGAATAAACCCAAGGCTGAAAAAAATATAATTTTGTGTGCTGAAAAATCGTGTAACTTAATCGTGAAATGATTTCTTTCTCTTATCTTATACCACAATACATTCTAAAAAGGACAAGTCAGGGGCTACAATTCAATTTAACAATAATACAAGAATATTTTCAGCCTAAAATCGTAAGAAAAATAATAATATTCAGCCTGGGCCAGAAAAACAAAATCATCTTAAAAAGAAAAGAGTGTGTCAAGTGCAGTTCTTTTTACTCGAGGTTGCGTAGCGCCGAGAGTCATAATCTGCAAGCCGTTTTTCTTCTTCGTATTTAGGACACAAAAGGGAGGTCGGTCTCCCAGGCGTTCCTAGCGGAGACCTCGGAAACTGGGAATAAGAATGGTGACGACTTTCATTGTATGCGAGTGAGACTCGTGGTGAGCATATGGTTTATTCTCGGCGATGATTGAGGTGATACGCGTAGTTGATCACGTTCCGTAATTTTGCGTAGCAATGATGTAATCTTTTCCCGAATCAAGACCCTTGATTTTTGTGTTTTCATACTCGCGTATTGAAAAGCAAATTTCCTGAAGAATACTCGACGGCCGATAAAGTAGGACGGGAAAATATTATAGCGGAGGAAATCCTGTTTCGTTGTGTATTGAGGCATTGCTTTTCTCAGAATATTGACGCAATTACTGGAACTCTACAGTTAAATAGATTCGATATTGCAGATTCAGCTTGTTGTATGTATTTAACTGATAGATTTTCGTAGTTGTTAAGTTGTGAAGTCGCGTTGTACTTTATAAATACCTGACATATCAATTATTTAAGCTTCATCACGCACTCTATTTGTAATAGAAACTACTGGTCTACAAATTAAACCAGTCTATTTTTTTTTGAAGTTCTCTAGTTTGGGAAATGTGTATTATGTTATTTTTCATACTGACGTCTTCATTGATGTTTCCTTGATGTCGTAGATTTGCAAGGTCTCGATCTTGGCCTCGTGGTATTGCCTGTTATTGTGGAAGATTGCTTGAAATTACACCATTATTGCATAGACATAATTGGAAATTTTCACTTTAGATTTATAGACTTTAACGATTGAACTTTAATCTTTTTTCCATTTTAAGTTTAACCTGACTATTCTATGTGCCATAATGCAGTCAGTAGTTACAGTGTATTGCCTGCGCACTGGGTTATTGAGAATTTATCTCCTCCTCGTTTCTTATCTAATCTCCAATCAACCTCGAGTTAACACTTCAAGGGTGTCTTGTTCATTGTAGTTCCATCGGAACGTCCCAGTATAGGAAGGACAAATACCTACCTCGACGATTCCACATTCTTCTATATCACGTGGAGGCCAATTCCTCATGACAAGTGGAACGGTAATCCCCGTGGATACAAAGTATTTTATCGGGCTGGCGATACAGGAGCATTTCACTCAAAATCAGTCCCACCAGATGTCCTTGAGGCAAATATTACGATTGAGAGCGGCCCAGCACCTTACGAAATCAGGGTGGCAGCCTTTACCAGAGCTGGAGATGGACCGATGAGTGATCCCCGAGAACGGCGAGGTACCTTTGAGAGTAGCCTTGTTTCATTTAAATGAAATGCTTTTGATTATAATTCATAATGTTAAACGTAGGCTCTTTCTAGCGATGCTCACATGCAGGTTCTAGGTATTCAACTCTTCCTTTTTCCTATGAATCTGAAGAATCATTGATCATAGATTTCAAGTGCGCGCAATTTAGCTGTAGAAATATTTTACCGTGCTCTTTGAAAACTAGACTTTGTAGAATGGGTCAACAATGGGGTGTTGTGAAACAAGATTCTTGAGACCAAAATTAGTTAGACTCATAACATATGACTAAAGACAGACCTGCGCGGATTCCCAATGTGGTTTTTTGTGGGTGCGTCTTATTATCAGCTTCCTTCAAATTATATTTTTTCATCTTAAAGGCATGTGTTTTAGAGATTTACCTGTAGGATAATTATAATCGGAGGTATTTTCTTTTAGCAGGGGCTGATTTTCTATTAGACTCCAGTTTGCCATCAGGGTCTTTTTAAAACCTTGTACCGCATTGAGTACCGTTAAACTTGTTTCTATAGAATTTGTATCTCAAGGAGCCTTCATTAATATTTGAATAAAAAATAAGGAAAAAATGGGGAAATTTCAGCCAAAAGCTCGCGGCATATTGCGATGACTTAACTGATTGATTTTCAGCATACCAAGCTGACGTTATTGGAAGAATCGGTGTATTCACAAGTCCTGGATTCCCACAGACCATACCTGGAAATTTGGAGTGTTACTGGGGTTTCCATCCAGTCTATGTTCCTCAGCGCTTCCGGATGGTGGTGGCTTTTGAGGCGGTCTACCTTAGGGATTCCGAGGGAGCTCCAAACTGCACGTGAGTAGAACTCGTTTTTCAATAAACTGTTTTTTCAAAACAACTAGGAAGCTTATTAGCCTCCATTGCAGACGTTTTTAGGGCTTTGTCACGAGTTCCAGGCTTTCGCGAGAAGGGGAGGATTGTGTGACGAACCAAAAGTTCGTCTGCGCGGGAAGCTAAAAGCTTATAAAAAGATAGAAAGCTTAGCAGCAAGTCATACCCAGAGCACACGTTCTCGAGCCTCCCGTTTTATATATCTTTTTTCGTTTGATTCTATTTCAGAAATTTGCAAAATGATTGGATGGGAGTTGCTCGCATTAACCCTTTGAGGTTCATATCTGGCCCTTTCTGTGGAACCTACCGTCCCTTCGCTGTGCTTTCCTGGGAACACACAACCGATACTCCTTATATGGGCTTTTTCACAGGCGATGGACCAGCTAATCGAGGCTTCAATGCCACTTACTTTGTTGTCTTTGATGTTTCAAAAATGAGTAAGTACTGTAACTCTTGTGTATTATTTTTGTTTTATAGCCAATGCTTCCTTACCTATTTTCTTCTTCTGTGTTGTAAATAGTGTATAAATGAAGCTCAATAGTTTCCAAATTAGGGCTGAATTACACCATATGAACGAAAAATAAGTAAACTGCAGTAATGCAAGGGGTCATTATTGCAATGGATAGCTCAAAAGCAATATAAGAACTCATCTGGAGGCACGATCAGGTTGCGAAAGTTGTTCTTTAGAAACGCTGCCAAAATTACGATCTGCAGTCCAATGAAACTTGGTACGATCATTCTCCAGAGGCAGTAATGGAAAATGACCAAGTGAAGTTACTGTGGCATTTCAAAATTCGGACAGAACATCAAAGAGACCATAACAGGCCCGATTTAGTCGTACTACAAAAGGCAAGCAGAGTGTGCCAAATCATCGATGTGGCATGTCCTTTTGATATCCGAATTGCAGAAAAAGAACGAGAGAAGACTGACCACTACCAGGACTTAAAAGTGGAAATACAAAAGATGTGGGGGACAAACGATGTTGGGGGACTTGGGGCAGTTACCAAAAACTTGATGTTATGGGTTACTAAGATAGGAACATCTGGGATCTTGAGCTTACTCTAGAAAGCCTGTTTGTTAGGAAAAGCAAAGATCTTACGAAGGATCCTAGAAACCTAAGGCTATAGGAAATAGCTTGATGATACGTGACCAACGATACAACTAGTGGTGTACGATATGAACAACAACGATGATGATGATAATAATAATAATATTATTAATCCTACAGATCGATAATATTAGAGCCTGCCCGAATTAACCTTTTTAAAGAATTAGGAATTAGGAATACGAGATTTTATTCTTTTTAACTTGTTTTCTTTTTTAATATCAGAGACGGATAACTCTCGTTTGTAATGACTTAATTTAGAACTCTAGAACTGCCTGCAAGAGTCATTGACCGCATCTGAGCCGCAACGAATGTATTTTGCGAAATCGTCATTGACACAGTGATTACTATTTTTATGATTTATGAAATTCTTAATGTTATATAGTGCTTAATTCTTACTTCAAATATTTCTGTAAATTATGTACATATATTTTTTTAAAGTTCAATAAAATTATTATAGCTATTCTCAAAGGAGACTATTTTATGGCTATGTTTGATGGACGAAGCGCTAAAAGTTAGATAACAAAATATTGTAGCGGCAATCGTCTCATTTTTCTCACGTTAGGTCTATCAGTTGTCTCTGGGACTATCACAGATTACAATGTACAAGTAGCCTGGACCAATACTGATATACCAGAACAGATTAAAGAGTACTTTATTTTCTACAAGCCAGTCAGAGAAGAGAATCAGCAAATAAAAAATGGCTGGAGTTTCACAAGGTCTTCCCAGCCCTTGGCCACACTGGCTCCTCTTCAGCCTGCTACCGAATATTCTGTTTTTGTGCTGGGTTACACGTCAAGCCGCAAAGTGTATGGAAGCAATGACGTTAATTTCATTACCACTGGAGGTATTGTAGACTAGTATTTTTTGCTCTAAATGTCATAAAGACCTACTTCAATACTGTCAACAACGAGAGTAAGATTCATTCATTCATTCATTCATTCATTCATCCATGCATCCACCCTTCTATTCATTCATTCGTTCATTCATAAACAGCAAACCGTGGTATGACAATACATGCAGACAGTTAAAGAAACAATTACAACACCTTGCAAGGAAAATGAATCCTGCAACTCGTAGGTCTTTGCAACAGGAATATTTTGCCCTTAAAAAGAAATATGAAAAACAGGTCAAATTGATGCATAAGGAATACAAAAGTGATCTTATTGACGAGATAAATGCATTAAGCTCGGAACATAGTCAAGACGTTTGGAGGCAAATAAAAAAACTCCGAAAATAAAGTACCGTAGAAGAAAACACCCTCATATCTCCGGAAGCATGGATACATCATTTTCAACAATTACCTTATGATAACAATGAAACAAATGAAAATACAAATTTTGCAAATGACTCGGACGAAACAGAAAATTTGTCAGATGATGAAATCTTAGAAAAACCGATCACTCCAAAAGAAATCCACGAACATATATCGAAACTGAAAACAAAGAAAGCAAGCAGCATGGATTCTATTCTAAATGAAATGATCAAACATGGTCGATATTTTTTGCTTCCCTCATTAGAAAAAATCTTTAATGATATACTTAACAGCTGTAAATTCCCGACTGAATGGAATATTGGCGTGATAAAACCCATTTAGAAAAGGAAAGGTGATAGAAGGTCCCCAGCAAATCAAATCACTTTGACAAGTTGCTTGGGCAAATTGTTCACATCAATTTTACAATCCAGGTTGAATAAGTATATCGAAATCCATAACATTCTCAACCCAGAACAATTCGGACTCAGACCAAACGCTAGAACAACAGATAGTTTATTCATCTTGCAACAACTCCTTCATAAGTACACCAAACAGCATGAAAAACTTTATGTTGGCTTTATTGACTATGAAAAGGCTTTTGATAGTGTATGGCAGTCTGGAATGATACATAAACTACGAAAGGAAGGAATAAAAGGAAAATTCCTGAAGGTCATCAAATCGATGTATTCATCAATTAGGAGCTGTGAGATGGTTAATCAAAACACAATGACTGAGAGCTCCCTATGTAACAAAGGCATACGGCAAGGGGACGGCTTAAGCCCAGTGTTATTTTCTTTATTTATGACTGACTTGCCGGAGTATTTTAGAGTACATAACTGCCCTGGGGTAAAGTCAGGTAATCAATCACTAAATTGCCTGATGTATGCTGATGATCTGTTAGTAATTAGTAATTCACCAGAGGGATTGCAACAATCGCTGAATGTAATTTATAAACACGCTCAAGAATGGAAGCTCAAAGTAAATACTAAAAAATCTAATATCATCATATTTAGCGGAAATTGACAAAACAAAAACAAAACAGATTTCAAATACACAAATGAAAGTATAGACATTGTTAACAAGCAAACATACCTAGGAACAGAAATGACATCATCTGGTCGTTAGGCCTATGCAAGGGAAATTCTTAGTAAAAAGGCTACCAAAATTGATTACTCTCCAACATTGATTCTTCAGCGGTCGAGATAAGGAATAAACTTTTCGATGCCCTTGTTAAACCTGTACTACTTTACGGTTGTGAAATATGGGGTCCAGAACTACTATCTAGTTATAAGACACATTTTGATAAAAGTACAATTGAGCAAGTTCACATTAAACTCTGTAAACAAACATTAAACGTCCCATGGTACACAAAAAAAATCCTGTAGCGCAGAACTTGGCCGATACCCTCTATCTATAGATACAAAGGCCTCCCTTTTATGTTACTGGCAAAGATTAGAACAAAAATCAGACAACCCTCTCTTAAATGAAGCGTTTATTTATTTATCTATTTCTTTGATTGGTCATGCCGCGTGGGAAATTTGATTCAACCAATCAGAACCACTACCCAGATCAGGGTAGTGATGCGTCATCAGTGTGGAATTCTCGACTGCAGGGTGTTTCTGAGTGGCTTAGCCTTGGGCAATGCTTGAAAACACACTTGTTGTTGTTTTAGGTCTTGGGTCATACATATAATGCGTAGTTAGCTAATTAAACTATTAACTCAGACTGAGAAGGTATTCTTGGCTCGCTCTGGAGAAAAAGATAATTATTGCGTTAGCTTTTAGATTTTACTACGTTTTATATGTTCTGCATTGTAGTCTTCTTAGATGCATACCCTCAAGGGTTAAACAAGCTCTCACAAGGATAGTGAAAGTTTTGCGTATTTTTAGGATAGCCACTATCTTGAACTTATCATACTATACTACGAAGTAATTATCTGCGTCTGCAAATTGAGCGAGACCAATGTCAGACTAACAGGGGAAAAACTGAGCGCTTGAGAAATTAGATTTGGAAACCTATCTCTCTTAATACTTGTAGTGTGGTTGCTAATTAAGTAAGGCATGTATTGAAATGTGTTAAAATTACTATCTATTTTTTTTGCAGTAATCGTGCCAACAACCACAATGATGCCAACGACACGTTAGTATATTGATATTATATTTTTCTCATTACACAAAAACAGACTAGAAAGATGTTTTTTAATCAGTAACAGGCGGCTCGGAAGAAAAAATCCGAGCCTCACTTGGGACCAAAATTTGTCTTAAATAACCCGATGGCGGCCTGACTTATGATTATCCGTATTATGAGTCTGCATACCACGGTAGGGAATATCTGTAAATTAAGGTCTTGTCGGGAAAGTAAAACAATCCGTGATGCATTGACCTGTTCTAGAGCAGGACATTTTATGTGTTACCTAAAGATGTGTGTTGTTTTAGCCTTGAAATCCAGGACAGTGAATTTGAATAGACCATTAACTGACTTTCGCTTTACATACTGCTTTCTTTTGCAAATCATCATTATAATAATAACAATAGTAATAATAATAATAATAATAATAATAATAATAATACTAACAATAGTAATAATAATTATTATAATAATAATAATAATTTTTTTAATTAAAATGATACAAAACTTGATTCATAGATTTAAAAAAATAAACTATTTACAGATTCAAGAATATGAAATATTTAAGAATTATTCCACGAGGGCACGTTGGATATGAGATGATAGATAGCCAACGAGGCGCATAGCGCCGAGTTGGCTATAATCTTTTCATATCCAACAAGCCCGAGTGGAATAATTGTTTTATTAAAAACGCCCACAAAATCTCGCTGAATCGCCCCGACTAGAACAAACCGGAAAAGACAAGGGACTTCCGCTATTCACATGTCACACGTCTATCAAAACTGTCAACGCGCGAACGGACTCGCCTAGACTGCATGAATGAAAAATCAAAACATCGTAGCGATGAACATTAGTTTTTTAAACACTCATAATGATTCTAGGATTTTAGCCAGCAGAACAGCTTAAAAAACCTGGCAGATAATGTGAAGGAAAGGAATTTTTAAGTGACAGCCGTCGAAATTACTATGAATTTGGATTTTCGGTGCAGTTATAAAAGTAAGAACAACGGAGAAAAACTACCGGTATTACCTCGGTCGCTTGTTATGAAGTTGTTTGAAGCCACAAGCTGGTTTTGCTGAACGAGAAAAGAAGCTATACTGCCGCCTCGATTGCTCTAGTGAATGGCTGCATAGCCTGTATTTGTAGCTCGTTACTTGTGATTTATATTCTTGATGTCGGATAAACAAGCTGCAGTTATCTATCGGCGAGTGACTCGATCGGCGAATGGCTTCGCGATGAAGAAACAACACTTGTCTTCTTTCGTAGCTTGTCAAGGTACTTTAGTTCGATGTGTTTTCATGTGTTTTTCGACAAACTTTCAAACAAGCTCTTGTGGCTTTTTTGTTTGTTTTTGTCTTTTTTCTTTCGTTGAAATTGCATTTCTAGTATTCTAAGAAATGAATTAAAACGATTTGCTACGGGCGCCGTTCTATCCTTCGCGAAAAAAAATCTCAGCTAGCTTCCAATTTTAAACTGACGCGTACACCGACCATATATGGAGAAAGTGGTATATTAGCTCATATACCATAACGGCTAAGCCAATCAAAATGCTAGAATTGCATTATCCAATGATTCAGTTTTTAATAATAAAATATATACCCTATGTACATTCTTCTTGTGTACGAAAGAGAATTTTCGTAAAATGACTATCTAAAGACTACTAATAACAATTTTAAAAAGCATTAAAAAGTTAATAAAAAAAATAAAAACTATTTAAAAATAATAATTCAAACTGATAAAAAGTTACTACTTAAATTCTGGCTTGCGCACTTTCCGGTGTAATGTCAATGTCAGATATATTGGCTGCTCTTCTCTTGCTCCTGGTTCTGGTTAATAATAATAATAATAATAATAATAACAATAATAATAATAATAATAATAATAATAATAATTTTTTTTAAAAGTAATCAAATCTTTTATTGATAACAAAGCTAACTATAAAATCCTATTTACAATTAATTTCACTTAAAAAAAACTATCCCGTCTAAGCACTATTTACATTATTCCTTTCGATTGAAAGAAGAAACTTAATTTCGATTGAAAAATAATAATAATTATTATTATCATTAATTATTATCATTAATTTTAATATCATTAATTATCATTTATTATCATTAATTTTAATACAAAACTAATAATAATAATAATAATTAGTATTTACCAAATCAATGAATTGCAATTTTCCCTCGTTTTGAATGGCTCCCGTAACTCGGAATATCCTTGGCTATTCACTGTTTTGCAACCGGAGCCAAGATGGTGTCTCGTTTCGAGACATTTCCGGAAGACGAAATTTGTGCGATAAATGAAGAATTCGTACAAACAAATACCAAGAAAGCGACGAACTTTGGCTTCTCGGTGTTCACTGGTTAGGTAGGAAATTATTTTCATGCTGAATTTGCAACAAAATCGTAAAATGCACTTGACAAAATCCCCGAAATGCTTGTAAATTGTAAACAGAGTTCCTACCACGTGACGTTTTAATTTACAAAAAGTTACTTTTTTTTCAGTTTTATCCAGCTGATTTGGTAAATACTAAAAAAACTATCCCCCTCAAAGTCGGTGAACAGCGCTAGATAGATACCTCGACGCTTCGCGTCTCGGTATATGCACCACTATTCATCTTCCGTTCGGGGAATAGTTGTATATAGTAATAGTACTGTAATAATAACCACATACATCTCTGTTTCAGCGCCTGTGAAACGGTTGTACCCTTACGAAGGAGACACACTTATCGACTTCAAACTCAAATGTGAAAAAATCAAAATACCAAGAGGAGGGATAAGAATGTATGGGAAACGTCACAGAAAATGCTTTGTATGTAATATTATGTATCATTTGTTTAACGATAGTCAAGTTTTTATTGATCAAGACATATCAGTGCCCGCGTACTGCTGTTATTTCATTGATTTTGTGATTTTACTGAGCGATAACACCTTGTAATTGGTGCTTTTACCCTTTGACAACCGCTTTGTTTATTTTCACCCCCACTGGTTAACCATTAAGCTTCCAGTTTAAGATACTTAGTTAGGAAGCAGCAAAATCAGCAAGAACAAGCTTGTTCTCTTAACAAGAATAGATATTCACAAGTGTTCCTCCTTATGCAATCAGTTTTAAAAATCCCAATCCATTAATATTGCATTTTTTGTATCACGATGTCAGATATGTCCAAATGGGGTAATCCAGTTTGAGAGGAATAGAATAAATCAGCGCCCATACCCATTTGGTCAAAGATGGTGGTTGAGATTTAGTTCAATAATAGCACCATACTGGACACGAGTCGATCTTGGACGCTCATTCACCAATTCAATATCCAAAGTGTATTATCACATCTATACCGGACAAGGAGCCTATGAAACCTTAAGCAAGGCCACATCTGACGTGTTGAGTGTATACCAAAGCAAACTTCCAGAAGGAAAAACATTCCAAGCCTCCTGGGTTTGTGTTGTGACATGGGTGAATCTCCGCCCCGCGGATTTGAATGATTTTACGGAGACCCTGGTAAGACTTAAGCCTTGTTGGAGCCTGGGCACCTTTTCTGTTAGCCAATTCAATATCTACGAAAATATGCGCCTTATCAGGACTCCATTTGCATGGATATCCTGCCCTAGGCTTTTGGATAACCGTCCATTTGTCTACAGCCCCGTTTATATGGACAAAAAGTTGACCCGGGTACGGAAGAGTCACTCCGCCTACCCGTGCTGCTTTCGGCGTGCCAACTTTTCCTACATTCCATTAAAAAGCATTGCGAGCCGCCGCCGTTTAACTAGAAACACAAGGTTGCTCGGTTAGAACGGGGTCATTCTTTTTTAATGGTGGGGGGTCACCCACCTAACCGGGCCCACTTTACTATATGAAAACATTGGCTCGCCCAGCTGGGTCAACAGCTCGGTCAAGGCGAGACAATAAGAGCGTGCGTGAACGCTGCTGGCTCAGACGAAGGAGTCAACTTTTTTTCTCATATAAACGCTGGCTTAATTTGACTAGGCTGGGAGGGTGGCTGTCTTTCCAGGACAACTTGTCTTCATTTAAACGGTGCCTAAGTAACTCTCAGTTTTTCTACTAAAAAGCTTACAACGATTGTCGGAGGTTGTGCTTTTCACAAATTATATTACCAAGTTATTGCGATTATTGTTAAAAAAGGGAACCTGAATATTTCAGTAAAAACACTTTACGTCCCCTAGAATCTTCCTGTAAAAGTACACTAACCCCATGTCCTCGAGTAATTAACAGTTTCGGATGGCGGAAACAAATGCAAAAAGCCGCCTTAAAACTTTCGAGTCGGCCAAAGTTCTCCTATGGTATCCCAACGGATAAAAATGCTTTAAAAAAGCTTCAAATTAACCAAATAGGTTTCTAGAGCATAGAGAAAACCATTTCAGACACTTCTGACGTATTTTTCACGTTTGGTCGTTAGATGCCCATGAAGCGTTACGAGGACTAACCTAAGTGCAAAAGGACGCAACAACCTCCAACATTGCTGGCCAACAATGTTGGGAGTTGTTACGTCCATTTGCCCGTGGCTAAAAGTTTGACCGGTTTCAAACTTTGCGCAGCAACTCCCAACAACACACAAGAACAAAAGCAACAGAGTGAGTGTGCAAATGGGCGGAACATGTAACATCCAACAATGTTAGGAGTTTTTGGTTAACAATATGGCGTCCGTTTGCACTGTGCTTTACGCTCCTTTATGTTTGGCAATTATTAGATAATAGTTGTTAAGTAAGACAAAATCATTGATGTAACTGGTGATTTCTGTTTGCTTTGTCTTCAGGGGAACACATTTCAAGCAGTTATCGTCACTGACAACATATTCTCTTTCGTTATATTTAACTATCCTCATAACGGAATTCAATATTCTGCTCCAACCAGCCGGTAAGTGCAAAGCACCCTGAATTATTATGCACATTCAATCACCCCCTCCATCGACTCTCCCCAACACTCGCCCCTTGGAATTCCCCCTTCACGATTGCAGGAGAAAATACTCAGATAGCAAAAACTAGGTGTAAGCAGCTTGCACTTAAAAGGAACTTTATTCTCGAAAAATGATAAGAAAGGTTATGGAATGGAATCAAGGAGTAATCTTACGATAGATTCATAAAAAGCATGTGTACACGCTGTCAAATTTGTCGGTTTAAGTTTTTGTGTCAACAGTTTCCATAACAACTGTAACACCATGCAGTCATGTCGTGTCAGATGTCCGGAAGAAAGAAAAGTTATAATTCTGAAGACCGCATACAAAACTGCTGTATGATTCAGTTATCAAACAAGGAGAGTCTATTACGTCTAGTCGTTACTTGTCATTTTATCACCGGCCTGGTATCAACAGCTGCCCACACTTATTTTGGTGCTCCTTTTTCGCGAGATATCTGTGACCAGTGCCACCCTTTATAATATAGCCTAAATTTTGGCAATCTTTAACAGTGTAACCAAGGAGGAGTGGTTTCTTAAGCAAGCAACCGTTTGCTTTTCCATCGAGCATGTGCTCCACGTGATGCCTAAGTGAAAACGTCAAACGACTTCACTTCCTCTTGTTTCGCAAGAGACGTAAATGAATTTAAGGGCCTGTTTGCATCAAAGTGGGGGACCCTAGGTAGGGGAGGTAAGATGTGGCGGGTCACCCCACCTATCATGTAAACGTGATCAAATTAAAATTAAATTGGGATTTAGTCCCTAGGAATTCAACTCCAGTTGGGTTCTCCTGCAATTGACAAAGAGCGAAAAAGAGCGGAAATTCCCATCAGGCTCGCGTTAAGGCAGCACTTGTAAGCGTAAGCAATAGCCTGCTAGCAGGCTCACTTATGCGGGCTACGTAACCAAATGTGCGAGAGCCTTAACTTGTTGTTAAACAGTTTTTAACCTGTTCAAAGTTAATTTATTCGCTCATGGCGCTGGACAGGGGCTCGATCAAAGAAGCAAACGGTCACTCGTAGTGGTTTATCGCCCTCTCTAGCGTAGCGTCCGGCCTGAAAAAATCCACTGCTACCAGGGTATTAGCAGTGCTGAGTTAGTATGCAAATCTTAAAATGGAACATTCGATGTTTATACATGATGCACTACAATAATCTGCACTTCAAATAGCATTAATGTATTCTCTGAAGTAATGCCTGTTGGAACGGTTGAATAGAAGCAGCAAATAATTAGAACAGCGACGAACTAGGGAGCCTAGCTGGTTAGGTCGGTATCGTGATGTAAGAGTAATTGAGTAGGCTGAGTAGAGGCCAGAATGTGTTTGTCCTTTAAACAGCCAATTAGGGATTCCACTAGAACATATATAGACCATGTCCCGAAAAGAGTAGCCCGTCGGGGGACCTTCACTTATGAGTGTTTTCTGGCTTAAGATAACATATACATTTTAAACAGACAGAAATACCTTTTTCCACCCTTTTTACAGGTCAAACTACAAATATTTTACCGACTATGAGTTCCTACCTGTCATTGGTTTCAACGCAGGAGACGACGACAACAATTTTCTTAATATCAAAAGGTATGCAATTTTAGGGCTGAAGCTTTACCCCAAAAACGAAGCCACGACTTCAACGTTTACTAGGGAGCTTAAGCAACTACGACAACGACCACAACGACGACTTCAAAAAACCAAAGGGAGTTTAATGATTAAAACAACAGCTCTGCACGTGCATCACGCTTTTAAGTACATTTCTTTGACTTCCACTGTACGACTACGACGTAAAACCTCTTAATTTGACGTTTTATGGGAGACGTGGACATACGACGACGAATTTTCCTTCCTCTTTTTGAACCTGAATATAATCCTTAAGAATTCAACTCCAGGAAAAGTCGCCTGCATTTGACATGTTGAGTGGGTCAAAATAGACGCGATTAAGTTTGAAAGGACGCAAGTTCATTTTTTTACCGACGTTTTCACTGCCGTCGTTCGCGTCATCCTTGCTTAACAAATGAGTCGCCATGAAGGGTTAGGTACTGATTCGGACAATGTTATAGTAGCGGACATGGGGAGGCATTTCTGCAGGGTTTATTGTAAAGATATTGAAAACTTATTACAAATGTAACGAAATTTAGCTTAGTTGTGGAAGAATTTTCGATATTTTGTGGGCGCTTTTTGGATATGAGATGATTATAGCTAACTCGGCGCTACGCAACTCTTTGCCTCTTTGCGGCCATCTCATATCCAACACGCACTCGTGGAATAATTGTTAATTAATTCATGAGAATTTTGCGTGATTTTCATTACAAATAGTTCAAGGAGCTGAAATAGTTTGTCAATACACAAAGGCAGATGAAATATATATTTTCAAACCTTGTTCTCAATGAACTGACTGTTGGATTTTGTTGTCACGAAACAGGTCAGGTACTGTTGAAGCTGAAAGCATTGACAACCTTCCTGGAAACCAGGAAAACATACCCGGGCGATGGATCATGCGACTTGAGAATTCTGCTGGTGAAGAGGATAGCGATTTCAATTGCGTAGTCTGGCTTGAAAAGCACGAGCTAGACCTAGATTTTACCAACTCTACTAAACCGGACCCTTGTCCCTGTACGTTGGATCAGGCAAGAGTGGATGATAGGTATACGTGGGTTGAGTCAATTTTCCCCTATACAAGGTGTTACTACACGGTCAGACGCTCTAGTAATAACCACGGTAGAAAGTGTTGTTACTTCATAAACGCCAATAAATTGGGAGCTTTGATTATCGGACCGCGTCGTGGTGGTACAATTGACCGCTTCCATAAGCTAGTTCCAGAATTAAAGGATGACCACACAGAAAGTGACGTCTTGGGGTTTCAATATTGCTGCATTGGAGCAATCAAAAGGGGGAGACTGTGCAAGTTATATTACCAATTGCGGCCATCTGAGGGCTGTGAAGCTTATGTTCCCCCGGTTCAAGGTAGGATATTCTTGCGTGTTTGTGTTTTACTTATTTATTTTTGGCCTCTCAATTGTAAGCGATTTAACTTTTTGCCTCATTTTTGGCAACAAGAAAAGTCAAGAACATTAAAGAACAGCCAATTATGGGATGACGAAGCTGCGTACGTGTAAAAGCTGAACCAGCCAGTGTGTTTTTCATTCAAAATAACTTAAACTTGGCTCAAAAAATCCTCAATTATACCATAACAGTTCCTGGGCATTTTAGGACGCGACTTTCTGTCGAATTTTGATGCCTTTCTGCGATCTGTTTCAGTCAATTGTTTAGCTATTGTCATTACCGGTGGTGTAAAAAAATCAATTGGTCTTCGAAAAAGTTTTCAAAACGTGCAACCTCGATTCAAAGTGTACGTGAACTCGCGATATGGCCAACCGCTTCCTGTCATTGGATATCCCATTTAATTTTCACGGCTCTTAGAATGTCAGCTGAAACTAATAAGGATGGCGTATAATGAAAGAGGGACAGTGTGTGTGTCATTTCTAAATCACCCAAGCGTTTCTCTCTTTCTTGTTATTCAAAAAAACGCATTTTTAGGTGAAAGTTTGTACATGTAATCTTACCGTACTTTGCGAATTCGGAAATTCGGAAGTGTTATTTCTAATTGTGGGTTAATGGGACACTTTATGTTAGCTGACATGGAGATAACGGACGGGCGGTCCTACTAACAATCACCTTACCCATGCGGTCCAGAGCTTTGCTGAAAAAGGAAACAAACAAATAAGTAAAAACAACAAATTATTACAATTAAGCGCTCAACACACAGTACTCACTTGATTCAAAAGACATAAAAACTTGACTAGACCACGTCAGGTTCTTTGAAAAGTATCTTGAAATTTTTGTTGAGATTTTACTTATGATTACCAACTGCTGTCTTGTATCGCAGCTCCTACTTTTGGAGATCCTCATGTTGTGACACTAGACGGCAGAAACTACACTTTCAACGGACTTGGTGAGTACACTATGATAGACATCAACGATGAGTTCTTCCAGCTGCAAGCTAGAACAAAACGTGCTAAAGGAGGAGGGACAGCGACCATCTTTGCTGCTGCAGTGGCGAAGGAGGAAAGTACAAGCACAGTGCAGGTTGCTATGAAAGAAGGAGGTCAGTGGACGATAAGAGTTTTTTTTTCTCTTTTACCTTAGATGGCATCCTATAAGCAGGTCAATGTTCCTAACATGTGAAATTGTGTGCTTGGATTGTTTACAGGAGGATTGGAAGTGCTCATAGATGGTAAGCCATACAATGACTACGATAGTTTGACAAACTCCAGCATATTTGTCAATGGATCTCTAGCACTGTCACGTCCAGAAAGCAACTCCTTCCTCGTGACGTTCCCCTCTGGGATATCTGTAACTGTCACTGAACTACAAGGCTCTCTTACTATAGTCTGCGCTGCACCCACATCCTTCAAAGGAAACACTAAGGGGCTCTTAGGGACTTGGAACGATGACACCCTTGATGACTTCTTGAGACCTGATGGAACAACGCTACCATCCAACGCCACAGGCCGTCAGATACATTTCGATTTTGGCTTACATTGTAAGTCTCATCGCACTTTAGTGCCACGTCTATAGTATTTCATGTTGTATAGTTCTTAACAGTGTTCTAGACGGCTACAGTGTACCTTTGTTATGCAGTATTTAGTATAAATGTGCAGGCAAGAGGTTTATTAACAGCTGAAACAAGGGGTTCTTTAACATTTTGTCTCAGTGCTTGACACATAAATGAGAAAAAATAGTTGTTAAACTGCGAAATCTTTCCTACAGTATACTTCATTTTTTTTCCAATAATTTGATTTATGTTTTAAACAAGAAAAGGCACGTGCAAAGTCCACAAAGGTCTAATGTTCTAATATGTTCTTATGCTAGGGCAAGTGATGGAGAATACAACCCTATTCACCTACAATCCTGGAGAAAACACAAGCACTTACGCTAATGCGTCATTTGTTCCTATCTTTTTGGACGAACCAATAAATTTTGCAACCAACGAGTTAAGGGTTGCAGCAGAGCTTGCTTGTCAAGGAGACGTGAACTGCTTGTTCGACATCGCTTCCACTGGAGATGTATCTGTTGGAGAGAGCACCAAACAAGTGGCTGTACAAATTGAAAGCGAATCACAGGCATTAGGTAAGTCAGCTCGGCAGTTGATTGTGTCTATATAGATACTTGCGCGGTAAAAAATTTGAAACATTATTACATTGTTACTGTCAAGTATCTTTTTGCCAAGGATTGCCGCATGGCTTGATTTCAGGATTACCGCTTCCAAGAAGTCTGGATGTCTGGCCATCTCAGCCGACAGGAATAATAATTCTTAAAAAGTGAACCACAATTTTGAATTGGAAGAAAGACATTTTCTGATTGATGGATGTTCAATCAATCAATCAATCAATCAATCAATCAATCAATCAATCAATCATTTATTTTAACACGTTGCATCAAAGAGCTAGATTATTCGTTCAAAATACGAACGTATATAAATAAAATCTATAATAATTACAACTATATAATGTTATTCAATTTAAAAAACAACTCAATAAATAGATACATATAAAAAACTTGGTATTAAAAACATAAAATATAAAAAGCTAAAACCGACTAAAAAGCCACATACTAGAAACGTGACTAGGAAAACTATAATACTCGTTCTAAAAACAGCTGAAAGCTACAATCTTGCACTATAAGACATGTTCTAAAAGGCTGCAGTTGTACGATCTGCTTCTGAAGTCATTAGCATCACTTGAAAGACGCACTTGAGAAGGCAAACTGTTCTATAACTTAGTTAATGAGTAAGTGAAAGAATTCTTCTTAAATTTAAGATTAAGTTAGGTAATTCCAAATTCAAGTCCTTGCCTCTTAGCCTATACGGTGTACGCCTGTATTTAAAAAGGCTTCCAATGTAAGTAGGTCCCGTACCATTTAAGCATTTAAAAAGAAGTATTAACGCCTGGTGTAAGCGCCTGCAATATAAGGATTTCATGCTAGCCGTAGTGAGCAGCTCGTCGTATGACATTGACTTGTTGTGCCCGATTAATGTTCTCAAAATATAACAGTTGCCATCTTCGAGACGGTTGCGTTGACCCGTACCTATGCCTACAAACAAAGGACTGCAGTATTCGTCTTCAGTTGCAAGTAATACAGTTAATTACTTTCAGTTGAAATAGACCTTTGTCACGAGGCGGCCATTTTATCCCAAGAGATTTTAAAAGCTCCACGGCTTGCCTCGCAGTGAGAACGACGCTAGCCGTGCAAATACAAAGCTTTTTTTAATCTCTTGGAACAAAATGGCGGCCGCGTGACAAAGGTCTATAACAATACATGCACATGTATATTTATTATGGTGATGCAACACCATAATTGTTATTTCAAAGAATATAAACTGTATTACATGCAACTGAAGATGATCGTAGACGATGGAGACATGTATTGCTTTAAATTCAAAGTTGGGATTCACTTTTTGCGGTTCTTTGTTTATCCACCATTTTCCAGACCAAATGAATGAAAATTAGATTCAAATCCAATGGTATCTCATCGGCCTCCTTCTTAAACCTGGTTACCATCCAATAAAACTGTGCCACACATCTCTGTCCTTCGTGATAGTACTAATTCCATGCTTAGATTAAGGGATTTCCGTCCTTCTTTAATGCTCAGTCTAATTTTTTTGCAGAAAATTTCCCTCCAAGGATTTTAACAGGACCAACTGAGGTCAATGTAACTGTCAACGAAACAGTTACTATTATTGTGACAGCAGAGGATCCTAACAACGATTCCTTGACTTTCACTTTATCTGGAACACTTCCCGCGGGTTATACAACGACAGGCGATGCGTCGTCAATAACTTTGACTTGGAGGGTCACCTCTGAGGAGGTAGCCGTTTGTTATTGTAAATCACGGTTTGTTTTCAGCCTGGTGTGGGGGGCTTCTGAAAAAATAAGATTTTGATTTTTTTATTCTTCTTTAATACCGTTTTCAAATAGATCTCATTTGTTCGTATTTATATTTTCATGGAGACTCTTTTGAATACTCTGTTTCAAAATTCATTTTGACAAGCACTTTACTTTTACAGATCGAAGTAGACTTTATTGTGTCGGATGGAACTGCAACCACAGTCTTAAGTCCAGTCATTTATGTTTGCGCATGTCTTAATGATGGAAGCTGCTTTCATGAAGAAGAAGATAGCGAGGAAAACAATGCCAACAACACAGAAAGATTCAATATTCTCTCGTGTGCGTGTAAGGATGGTTACACCGGATCCTTTTGTAATTCAGATCTTGACGCTTGTGAAGAAAATTCCCAGCCATGTTACCCAGGCGTCACCTGTACTGATTTTCCGCCACCTGCAAACGAAACTGGATTCCAGTGCGACCCGTGTCCAAGTGGTTACTCAGGAGATGGGATTGATTGCACAGGTATATCATAATTATAGGTTATTGACCAGGCAAAACGGGAAAGGCCAATACCCAACCATCTTGTCTTGCGGCTGGACCACCAGGGAAATCCCGAACGGTGAAGATGGGCCCTTCTTTCACACTCTGGTGGCCAATCAGAAGAAAGGATTAGCTTCAAATTGCTCACGGCCTATACAGTCATATAATAAAGGCGTTTATTGCGACTTATGATTTCCGCTTCCAAATAATATCCAGGGATATAGTCATCCTTCAAACGATCATATATAATCCCGAGCCGGTTAAAATTAACTGCAAAGGAATGTTAGCATCATACAAACGCCCTTCGATACTCAAACATATTCGATGGTATGGTTTGTGTCGTTTGTTTCTTTAGGTTATCCAGTTGAGCCCGGAGTTCATTAGCAGATACTCAAGAGTTGATATTCCAACTACTTTACTTAAAATGTACTTAGTATGTTTTCTATCTGCTTCGTTTCTTTTAGACATTGATGAATGCTCTGTAAACAAAGGTGGCTGTCAACACAATTGCATTAACACCCCCGGCTCATTAGTGTGTAAGTGTGATGATGGATATTATCTCGATGCAGACAAAAAGTCCTGCCAGGGTAAGAACGCTTCAACCTTGTACGTTTGTCTCGTCTTTTTTTCCTCCCATTTCTTAATTTGAAAGTTTGTCAGCATGAATCTCATGCTTTACCTATTGCTTCTCTTTGCCTAAAACTTGAATCGGATTCTCAATGCCACTTCGTTTGGAAGGAAGTATGAAGATAAGTGACAGTTTACAGTGTACTCTTGCGCTTTCAGATGTGAATGAGTGTTCCCCTGCCAGTGACTGTATGCATCAATGTGAAAATACCGCAGGAGGATATAATTGCAAATGTGATGAAAATTTTAAGGTGGATCCTGCTGATTCAAAGAAATGCATACGTGAGTATTCTTATTCAAGGGCAATTATCGCCTGTCTGTGCCACTCATGTAAAAAATTATTTCTTTAAAAAAGTACGTTTACTTTGATTGTTCCTAACGTGATATTTGTCATTATTATTTTTCGTCAGCTGAAAATGTATGTACAGGTCAACATGGCTGCCAACAAGTTTGTTATCAAGCCGATGGACAGGACAAGTGTTCGTGCCACGCGGGATATGAACTAAACCAAGATGGCATGACATGCTCAGGTATTTATTTAAACAAATACTTTATTCAGGCAGCTGATCATTTAAAACATGAGTAGTTTAGGAAAAAGGTCGCTAGAACGAAAGTTGTTACTGAAGTAATCCAGGTTGGCATGACCTGTTGTAACTATCTAAGATTACCAGTAAAGGGCTTCGTCTCGATACCCAACCATACTAGTGTCCTTGTCTGGGAGCGTTCCGTCAGGTCGTGGTTTCTAAAAAAAGATATTTAACAGTTACGGTGGACATCGCAGAATTAAATGAAACTTGGCGACTATGATTGGTTGCCTAGGGAGGTCTTGGTAAAAGTCTTCTAAGCCTATCAAACCTTTTTTTTCACTTGGAACTTTCTTGACCGCTGAAAACAAACTTTTTTTTGCAAATTAACCTTTTCGTTGCTTGAAAACAAGAGCCCGTCTAAATTCAGCGACGATTGATTGATCGGTCGAAAACTGAGAAGCGTGCTCGCTTCCTGGCGCCCTGCGGCTCACGTATTGTTAAATTTCTTACACATGATTGGCTAGTTCGTTAGACCACAAACGTAAAGGGAAAGGAATGTAGTTGGGTTTTCAGTAGCCGTTTGTGGGGAGGAGCGTTGAGTGACGACACTAAAAACGGTTGTGTAGCAGACTAATCAAAGGGCAACCCTGCTCTATGATATGTCACGTACAATGGTATGATTTCACATAATTATACTTTAACTACTCCTCTTTTCCAGATATAAACGAATGTGAGACTGGAAAAAGTCTATGCACTCAGACGTGTAGTAATCGAATGGAAGGTTACAATTGCTCCTGTGCAGACGGATTTAGACTTGACAGTGACGGTTACACTTGCAACGGTATCCAGTTTGTTCTGACTTGTTATTCTCGGGCATATATTGAAAGAAAACAAAACTGATTAAAAAAGAAAATATATATAGATATATATATATAAATAGTAGAAATAATGAAAATGATGAAGATAATAATGAAGATAACGTTAATGATGATGATGGGTCCATCAAGTGAAATTACCCATGCAAAGCTTTAATTATTTTTGACGAACAAATAATTTTAAATAAAAAAAAGATTATTCTTAATAAAATAAGACTAAGAAAATTAGTGAAAGAGGTGCATGCAAACTGATAATCATTTCCATTTTAAATTGACTCATTAGATTGTCCACAATTAGTTTTTGATTTCGGTATGATCTTGGAGAATTTAACTTTGTTAAACTGTTTTGGTCTACCTCTGTTCTCTTTATAAGATATCGATGAATGCAGGGAATTCACTTTCCAATGTCAAGATGCTTCCCAGACTTGTAGTAATCTCCACGGATCTTACAAGTGCGTCTGTGGAGAAGATTTGTACTGGATTGACAACAAATGCCAAGGTTTGTTTGCAAATGAATTTAGTTGTTATTTGACTCAAGGCATGATCTGACTTTGTTCTGATTTATCAATAATTTGGACTCATCTTTAAAGGATTGTTCAGTCAAAGTTGTTTTGCCACTATCATTGGTGATTTTCTACAGCTTACCATGTTCCTACATACATACATACTTACATACAATATATTTTTTTTTTTTCCAAAGGACTTGGTAAAGGGGAAGCTCCTCCACCACCTCCACCCGCATCAACACCGAGAACACCTTCTGCAGAAGAAACTGCCGAATCAGTCAGCGTAAATGTCGGATTAAACATTTCTGAGGTGAGCCATTTTTTTGGCATACAATTAGTTCGGATTTTTTTAAAACCTACCTTGCGAAAATTGCCGTCATTTGACTAAAAACAAAACCCAAGTTCCTGCCCCCCGATAAGCGAAAGCGAGGAAAAAGGAGCACCCCTTCCTCAATTTGCAAGACGCTCCAGATCAAACCAAAGGGGCAAATTCAATAGTTACTTAAAGGCGCCAATATTGAGCCACGAGTTAGACGCAAGGATATTGCTGTTTTGGGTTAATTCTGTGCTAAAGTCATTCCCTTTAGCCTATACACGAAATGTTTCTGTATAGTTATGAAGAAGATATCAATAGTCAACAATAACCATGATAACCTTTTTGGTGATTTTTGCAGGCATAACATTATAACTTGAAAAAAGTTGAGAGTTTTTAATACATTTTTATCCTTGCCCTCGGTTGCAACAAACGACAGGAAACAGTTTAAATGCCTAAATATAATCTTAAATAACAAAATTAACCATTATTTTTGGAATTAAATTGAAACAAAGACCATTGCAAGTTTTAGCTTTTTAAAAGAGTCGTCAACTAGCGTGACATTTTAATTTCTAGATCTCTCATCTAATTTTTCTTATTGCAGTGGAATGAACCAAAAGAGGACGCGTTCAAGCAGTCCGTTGCACAAGCAGCTACAGATCATTGCTTGACAGGTAGCAACTGTCAATCAACGGAAACCAGGTATTGACTACTTGTCGATTTATTGCTTTACTGATTGATTGCTTGAAGAATGGATGGATGTTTAATTCTCCATTGACTCATTTCTTGACAGTTTAACTAAATTTGTGATCGTTTCAATATTTTGATCCAGAGATTAATAAAGTAGCTGTGAAGTAAGGAATCGGCACAAAACAACAACAACAACAACAACAACAATATATCATAATAATAATGATGATGATGATGATGATGATGATGATGCTGATACATTGTAGTTATGATAAATATAATATGATAATAAATAACAAAAAGACAACAAATCCACTGCCATTTTAAGCTCTCGACGCAAACGCAGATCAGCGGGAAACCTGGTCTTCACAGAGAACCAAGTACACGTGTTGCCTGGTTACCCAAAACAGATTTCAGTGAGTCCACTCCTGGCGAACATTTCATTTTACATACAGTCTCCAGCTGGATCGTCGTTTACCGTCATGCCGAAAGCTGTCGTGGTTGCCATTGTTCAGAGTTCTCTGGCAAGCATTTCAAGCGCCCTCAATGCCAACATTTCAAGTGTACAAACGCTTTTTGCAGACACAACGACAGCGACATCTTCAACTCCGCCGATTACAACCGCCACTACACGGGTGTTACCGACGGAGAAAGAAAGCAATATGAAATATATCATTGCTGGTTGTGTTGCTAGTGGGGTGGTGATTATCGTCATTGTCGTAATCCTTGTGTGGTGGTGCAATAAGAAAAAAAGGTACCTGTGACACCTTAATTCTAATAAAATCTACGGAGTTTATGGGATTAATAAAATTCCCACGAAATGACGTCTGAGAAACAAGCGCAGAAATTCCATACTGATGACACGTCACAACCCAGATCTGGGTAGAGCCTCTGATTAATCGTAAATTTGCTTTCCCCAATCAGAACCATTACCCCGATCTGGGTAGTGTCACCGCATCAGTATGGAATTTCTGCATTCGTTTCCTGAACAGCGGCTGATAATCGAACCTGGACGGGGTGGCAGGGATCAACAAGTAATACTTTCGTATGGCAACTTTATGGCCTAATAATTGGGTCTAAAGTAAAGTATTAACCTGTCTTGCAATCTGTTTTTACTATAAGAAAGATCTTCTCTGATCGCCTTTTTCTCCGTTTAAAAGGGAAAAACCTCGAAAAATTGACAGTGAATTGTCAATCGTCAGGAAGGTAAAGACTGCAGAAAACATGGAAATGAATGATACTCATTCACCCAGCAACGAAGCCTTCGAAAATGATACTTATATGTAAGTTAATCAAAAATTACTTAACGCTTTGGAGCCTTAAATAGGAAATAAAAGTTACCTTTGGTCATATTTAATTAGCGCCCCTTGTTCCAAGTGTGATAATTAATGGTAATCGAACTTCGTGTCCTGCAATTTGATCTGAAATCATACGTATCATTAGAACACGAATGACGCGATTTAGAACAGATGTGATTTAAAGCGAAAAAATAGTGTGATTTTTGAATAAATCACACTGCTGAGAGCAAATCAGATTGCAGGAATCCCCAGTGATTTTAAAATGAATATAATAAAGTTTGGAATTAAAAAAACAGTAAGCACTGCTTTCATCACCAGGATGAGACCAGATGGAAAGCCAATCTTTGGGGCAATGTCAGGATAACAATGCTAGGAAATTTCTAAAGTCAAATTAAACGAGATTTATTGACAATACTGTAATAATCTAATGTCCCTAATCTATGGCAACTTTGATGTCATTGTAACGCTGATCATAACAAATTTTCGTCCGTCTTTATCTAAATATCTTAGCTGTGGAGGTCATTTTTCAAAATCTTTGAGTCGAAGATAATAGTCAAGGGTGAGAGGTATTGCCGTTGAAAACCCTATCGAGCCACCTTAATAAGATGATAAACAGA